TTTTCGTTGTTTGCCCACTATCCTACGTTGGACTGAATGACTGACTGCTGAGCTCGTGATGTGAACCCCAAAACGACTGGTGGAAGAGCCTATAGAAGATTACTAATTAATAATAACAGGTAAACACTAAAATTACGACAAACCGACTAATAAAATCATTCGAAATTTGAAGGTGATCATTCTTGCGTGCGGCATACGTACACTGTAATCTACCTGATGGAATTTGCAATTATTCCATCATCAAACAGCATTTTAAGTCATTCCACTAAACTTTTCCAAACCAGACCGTTTTTTTTTGAGCAACATCACAACTTGGATAAAGTTTGGAATAATTAGTTTGACTATTCGTTCTTCCATTTACTACTAGACTCCAAACTGAGTATTCTCTTTTTTCGGAGAGGAAGCCTATTTCTCGGTATATACCACATTCATTATAACCGAAGCCATATCTCCTATAATATAACGAGACTATCAAACGCTACTACACGATTTATTTCAACAAGTCTCAGAACATCCATCGGTTTTTCATCATCAATAAAGTTGTCACCGGTTCGAAAATTCATTAAGTTGTTCCGAAGGAAGTTCCGCGATATTTGTAGGCTCATTATCATCACTTTCGAAATCTTCTCCGTTCACGATATCTTCAATGCAATCTTTTAACACTATATTGAGTGAGTCATAAAGCAAGCACGAAATCAACAATAGTTGGTAATTCAACTCGAAAAAAGCTCATAGAGAATACTTTAACAGTAAACACGAACATCAGCATTGTCCAACAAATGGCATGGACGATCTCCGTTCACGAGTGTACACTGAACAGCCAAGAAAATGTCGGGAAGTCGGAATGGGGAACGAAATATTTTGAACAGCGATACTCAAAATCAGACTGCTGTTTATGCAGCAGTCTGATTTTGGATAGAATCGTGTCCTGCGAATTAGATAAACACGAGAACTTGATGATTTATCGTTGCAGTTAATGTTTTTTTTTCTGTTTTAAAAAAAGTCTATCGATTCCTTGATGAAACTTGCTAACTGTATCGGAAAAACTAGGTCGTATGCTAAAGCGAGAATAGATATGGTTTTGTTTTGCATAATTTGGTAGAAAGCACTCTGTGGAGTAGTGTTGTGCGGGGAGTTCCCAAATCCGGGGTCTCCGTCCCCGACTTTTTTTGGAGCCACAGCCATTTTCGGGGACTGATCCCGTCCCCGAAATGTCCCCGACTTCTCCAGAATTGTCGGCGCTCCCCGAAATTTCGGGAAGACTCCTCGAAATTGTTTGGAAAAAAATTTAAATTTCGAAGTTGAACGCGAACGATTCAAAGTTGAATATTAAATCATTTTGCTTTTAAGGCCCCACTACCATCCTGTCTCAGCTCATAGCATTACATTGTCAAAGAATTGAGTGGCGCCGCAACGAATTTTTCTTTGTTTTCATCTGTTTTCACCCAAGTTTTTTCCGTTTTCTCCTTTACTTTTGAACGCGTTGGCTGTTATCGAAATGGGCGTCGTAACGCATGCCTGTTAGTTATACGAACGCATTGGCGAATCATGGATCCGTGTGTTAATTTCTTCCCAAGATTAAGAATGTTTCCAGATCTGCATAGTGACATGTAATAGGTCCGCATAGGTGAGTGTAGTAGAAAACTGCAGGAATACAGTGTGCACTCTCTTTTGTTTTTGTTAAAGAAATTTTGCTATTATACTCTATTTTTTCATGTGGTTGAATAAAATACTATATGTAGAATTGCATTGTACCTTTGCAGTTATCGCTTTCCTAGCTTAAAGATTACTTATTTCAATGCTTTTCCATTAAAAAAAATCATGTTTTCAAGGTCCTGTTGACGCTAGTTCCAAAGTTACATCTTCTGGGAGTTTCGGGGAGCCGGGGATGGGGATGAGATTGAGTGTTCTCCTCGAAACTCCCCGTCCACGAGTCCCCGACGTTTTTCGAGTCGCGACCATTTTCGAGAATCAGGTGCATATCTATTGTCCCCGTCCCTGAAATGTCCCCGATTCTCCCCGACCCCGACTTTTTTCCGTCCCCGAACAACACTGTTATGGAGTCAGGTGCATATCTATTTTCCTTAACTAATCAATAACAGACGGGTTAAAGAAGAACGATCGCCAAACTGGGAACGCGTTTTCAGTTAGTTAAGGCAATCCAACGGCAAATAAGCCATCAATTGCTTAGCGAAACTATCACTCCCTGAAACGGCATTCTCAATTGACAAATGACTAACACTTTCATTTCATAGGTGTGCTGTTTAAGGACGCAAGATCCAAGAGAGCTGCCACGCCTTGTAACTGTGATTTAGAGCGATTTAGACCACCCAAGTTTTTAAATCTCGCCATGTATAATATCAGCACGATATTCCTCTGAAGTTATCAACTAATTGGTTTTTCGGGAACGCAACTTCCTAAATTCTGCCAATAATTTTTTGCCAAATTTCTTGTTTTGTTTGGTTTCCTGAGAGAGTTGAGTTGCTTGGGACTTTATTTAAAAATAGCACTTGGTCCCTGTTTATTTTATTAAAAAATAGCATCCAGTTTATTTGAATACGATGAAAGACTAGTGAATAAGACCAAGCTGGCAGCTAAATAAAACGACAAAGAACAACGATGAAATTCGAAAAAATTTGTATTTGCTGCATGATGACGCTTTACGAAGTAAAGGTGGTATTTTTAACTCAAATTTCAGCAGCTGATCGAACAATCGATTCGTTTGGACCTACGGTATGATACTGGGAGCTTGTATACTACTGAGAATTATTATTATGATTAATGACATTGGTACACCGGTGCGCAGGCTCGATTTGCACTTGCCTGGAATGTTCTGTTCCTAAAATAGAAAACATGCTCTATAAAACTTTCATAAGAACTGTCAAGCTGCTGAGAAGTTCTGGCAATAAACGTAGTCTGCCAATGACATATGTAGTGCTCGTTTTAAAATTTGCTACGATAACAGAAAACAAAACGCCAACTCTATGAGCAACGTATTCAACTGTTTATGTACTCTCCTTTCTTTCTCAACGTTATCTCAACAACATATGTATTTTTCCCAAGCTAGAAGTCATTCTCTGATATTCTTCTGAAAATGGAACACAAACAACGTTTGAGAATTCTGAAGATTTATTTTGAAAAGAATCATCTCAATAGCTATAATAACAATATGCAGTTACGATAATAATAGTGACATAATATTCATTTGATAATAACAGAGATAAAATTTAAAAAATCCCTTCATAAAATAAAAAATGAAAGGAGCAGATCAATACAAATGCATTATCAAACGGAAATGACAACTTCTCATATGTACGACGAGCATGTGTGGACCCTAATACTCAGTTCTATTCCTTTCATGTAAACAGAACTCCTCAAGTAAGCAGAATCACTCGGCAAAACATACGATATTCTGATTCTACAGGTTCCAAGGGATCGATTGGTGTAGAGAATTTGATATGTTCGTGGGCAAACTTGAGAATACCGGTAGCTTGAAGTTGGTAACCGCTACAGGCTTGAGATAACTTTAAAAAATAGCTATATGTCCTCAGGTAAGCAGAATTACTCAGCAATATGCATGTTATTTTTGAATCTAGAGATTCTGCGGAATGCAGCGGAAGAAATTCATATGTTACTGGGTAAAGCTGAGAGTTTCTGATGTCAGCCAAGTGCTTGGAATTTCGGTGGTTTGTAGATATTTTGTGAATCTTTCTGTAAGCGCTTTATGGAGGTTATCTTCACCCATTTTCAAATACTCTGCTTTTATTTTATCCTTTTCTGGGCTTTTATCTGTTTTTATCTTGCTCAGTGCGTTTTCGACTTCACCTTGTATTACAGCTGGTATTTCTTCTCCTTGAGCACGCGATTTTACCTTTGTAATCTTTATTTCTGAGGAGTACAGGTCATTAGAAAATTTTTTGCATATTTCTTTCATCTCCGATCTTACTGATGTCCTCTTTCCCGAGCTGTCTTTCAACACACAAGGCATTTTTCGTTTCAATGCGATATCTCTTTCCGCTTTTTTCAAACTTTTGTGTTTTTCTACTTTCACAATCGGCTTTTATGCTTCGTATTTCTTTGCATAATGATTTGTACTCATGTCCATTCACTTTTCCTTCGACAATCCTGCAGGCTCTATCCGCCATTAATTGTTTTGTGTGGTTTTATATTCTCGTGGATCTTCTTGATGAGGCTTTCTTGCTTGCTTCTTTGACTGTTTCGTTGATTTTCCTTATGAAGTCTGCATAGTCTTGGTTCACATCGTTGTTGGTCGTAGACCAGTCTTGAGATTCCAACTTGCTTGCTAACGATATCAAATTAACAACGGTGTTCGACGCTCGAGATTTTTTCTTTAACAAGGCATTCTCTTGGGAATAATTTATCTTCACTGATGTACGTACGAGACGATGGTCGGAGCCAGTGTGGATGACGTTTTCTCCGATGACTGTGACGTCTGAAATGATGCATTTTGAACTTGACAGTACATAATCTATCTGATTTTTTGTGGCGCCGTTCGGGCTTTTCCATGTCCATTGTCTTTATGCAGGTTTTTGGAACATGATATTCATTACGTAAAGGTGATTACTGATTGCGAATGTTATTAGTCGTTGTCCACGATCATTTCTGGTTCCTATACCGTACTTGCCTTCGTTTTTAAGGATTCTGCATCCCACTTTGGCGTTGAAGTCTCCTTGTACAATCGTGTTCATTAATCTTCTGTTTCCTTTGTTCATAGCCCTTTCTACTTCTTCGAAAAATTCTTCTAGATCTTCTTCACCGTCTTCTGTAGGTTGTGCATTGTTTGCAGCGGGGTCATATACTTGTACGATTTTTAGGGTTCTATTTTTGCCGATAAGTAAGACTAACACTGCTGTTCTTGGAATAAGAATGTCACAGCTTTCGATGAGATTTGTTACTTGCTTTTTCACGATGAACGCAACTCTACTTACCCTCGACTCGTTACCATTTGCTCCGCTCAGAAACACCTGGTCTCCTGTGTGTCATTCATCTACGAGCTCTTCGCTGCGTTTTGTTTCGGATATTCCAATAACGTCGGCTTGTATTTTTGCTATTTCTTTAATGTACGCTTCGATTTGATAATCAGACGACATCGTTCCGGTATTGTGTGTAGCCGCAAACAGACGTTTTATCCTTCCATTAGACTGTAGTCGTTGTCCAGCCGGTCCGTTTTCCAAGTTCTGTGAATCCTGCACATTTCTTTCATTTCTCGGTTTTTTGGCAAATATTTGCGGTAGTTGTGTTTGGGTTGCCAGCCCTCGTACCCTTATAACCGCGGTTTCACCGTTCCGCTTTAGCCGGGTTGGGCCTAGGACTCAGATACATAATCGTCATCCTGGCACCTACAGAAAGCCTGTTCAACGTGGTTGGACCTGCTAAAGCATGAAGCTCCGCTGGCATAGCCTTTCTGACCCGTTGACACCCTTGCACTACGATGAAGTAGCGGAATTGGACTTGCAAGGGAAGCTTATGGGTAGAAAATAAAATTTATTCTTGGTCTTTTCTATATGCTTTATTTATTTATTTATTTATTTATTCAGTGAAGATGAACATTGTCAAATGTATGTTTCTTTCGTGCTATTGCTATTGTTATCCAATGTAAAGCATTCTTGTCTCTGCATTGTCACATACCGATAGGTTTAGCGGATGTGCATTTCTTCATTCCCGTCCCTAAGGACTCTTATGTGAATTTTATTGGACTTTAAGGTAGACGCTAAGTGGGCGTATTCGCTTAATTATTTGGAACTAACTTCCGAAAACAATCTTAATTTGAGTCCATGCATTTTGGTTAACATTAGGCCTGGTCGGACTTTGAGTATGCAATTCAGGAAAGTGAATTATGCGATCCCGGGAAAGGCGCCAATTTGTCCAGGGATAGGGAATGCGCATAAGTTGGCCTGAGTAGTGCCTTCAGGTATTTGCTTAGGTAAGAGGGTTCCCGGACTCACCGTGCGCACTTTCCCTTAACAGGAGGGGGAGTGGAATCGGGTTGACTATTGACTACACTCATGAAATCACATCGATTAATTTCAACGTTGTTAAATGTATTATAAGGAGAAATCTCTCAGGTGTTTGTGGTTACTCGCCGAAGCTTATCTATTAGCTAGTTTCATGATAGCATTCATACGGTTCTTTGATGATATCCTTATTTCCCTTGCCAGTGCAGTTATTGTCCATCATAAGTGCTAACAAGGTACGTGATAACTTCAAGAAATCCATTCAGATCGGATTATAAACATTTTGGGTTTCAGTTTGTTAAAAGGGGGATATTCAATTTGCATCGCCCATTTTTTTTGTAAACTGACCACTTCCGAGAGTTTATATCCCGGGCTAGGGTTGAACTGTATAACTGCAGTTTGATCTGTGCATAGAGGATAGAATTTTCTCTTGGCTGCTAGCACAATGTCTTCCGAGACTTGAAATGAGCTGATGTGTATGTTCTCAACAAAAATGTTTTTGAGATAGCGTTTTCAGGGTTTTCATGAAATCTTCTCAAAGGTTATCATTCGAGCACCCAGATGATAACCTGAGGAATTGAGAGCCAGATAACATTCTTCCGATTGTTCTCATACGTTGTGTAGACGGAGGTAGGAGCTGAATCAACCTTCATTTAACAGTAGCTTGACTTGACCTCAAGCTAATTTTGATTTGAACCAAAATGATTTCAGCCGGCTTGGTTTCATTTCGTTTTCAAGATTTCTTCGAGAATGTGCTCTTGTTATCCTGTTTTGGATTGTCCGATCGGATAAAGGCATTGAAATCTCGTGTTTGAGTGAATATTTGTTTGATTATCCTATTGCTGTTGTTATTGTTTACGTGATTATTTCATGTTGTTGTTTATATGACTGTTTCGTGCCACAAAATTATGTAAAATTATGTATGAAGCATAATAATATCAACGATAGTAATACCAGCAATAGTAAAATATCAATCGCAACACAATTCAATAATATCAATCTCGGCTACAACGTGGTATATATCATGATTATAAATTTTCCCTGTCGGGCGGTGACCAATTCGAATTATTTGTTGACTTTTTACACTTAACGTGAAATCGAAAATCTCGAAAATACCTTAATTCCTGGCTAATATATCAGTCATATTTTATTCTCCTTGATCTAAGTTAGAAAGTGGTATATGAATTGCCCGGATTCATTGCCGTTAAATGGATAAGAAATTCACATTGCTGAACATATATCAGATGAAAATCCCACTTGCGTCACGTTACGAACTGTTATTCCGTTCGTACTTGGCGAAGTGAATGTATACCGAACGGGCGAGTACGAAGAAACAAATTGATTAGATCGAACTGGAGTTGAATACGTGGTTTAAAGCAAGCAATTATTTGTTTTTTATTCTCATTCTCGTCTGTCAGTGTAGGTTATGCATTATGTCGTCAACCAGTGGTTTATTTTCGCATTTATTGGTTACTCAGATCAAAATCTTCATCGTTCAAAGTTGCTTTTCATTTTCCTTTGTGACTTTGTCTAATTCTCGAACTTAACTTCTTCAGTTATTTAATTAATCAGCATACTCTATTCCTAATTTTTTACTGGTCGTCTTGTATGCTTTTGTCGTATATTTTTTGGAATCGTTCGTTTTCTTATTCTGGAAAACAATCAGAATGAAATTTGCCGATATTCTCAGGTTTGCCTGGCTGCCGAACCCATCGATACGATTTTCTGTCACTTTTTTCTCGCACAAAAAGTGGTGGTGAGAGTTAATTGCAACGGAGCCGATCACACCGGTAAATTTACAAATTCTGTACAATTTGTCTTTTAGTCGATTATATTATAGTTGAGAAAGGAATGGCTTAGGAAGCCTTATCGGCTTACTGAAGTTCAGCCACGTGCTGATTTATCTAGAAAAATTATCACAGATTTTAGTTTACAGGTGCTGGTAACAAATAAGTATTGTGTGGAAGTGGAAGAATTTTTGAAGAATGACAAAAGTATCGGAAGATGAAATGAGCGAGAAATGGGATCGTTGTTTCGCGGATTCGCTTTTAAAAATAACCGGTGGTCTTGCGATTGGTATTGTTGCTTCGTTAGCTTTATTTAAAGGACGTTCATTTCCAATGTGGTTTGGATCTGGTGTTGGCTTAGGTATGGGTTGGAGCAATTGTCGTCATGACTTACAGACGCCTTATCTTTTGTACGGTAAAAAAGTGCGATCCGAACAAGTGGACGCCTCAAAAGCTGATGAAAAATCCGATTATATGGTTGTTATGGAACCGGGACATCATACTTAAATTATGATTCATTGCTGAGTTGTTATTGTTGTTCGATTGTCAACAAGGAACTAATATTATAGATTCGATTAATTCTTCTTTTGTAACTATTCGTTTATTCAAGCAATCGATTTTGATTATGTACTTATAGTTTTTTGATTTGTTCACCTAGTTCCGGTGTTATCATATCGATCAAATAAAGAAGTCAATGTAAAATTGGTGTTTTGTTTCTTTCATGCCAATTTACTTATTACGAGCCTTTCGTTGTGAACATATTTTCAATTTTTATTCATTTGTTGCCTTTAATTTTTTTTGAAATTGAGGATGTACTCCAATGTTTCACTTTTGATAGTATTCAAGAATAAAGAAAAGCATCTGAATCGATTTTGAAATTCAGTTATCAACCAAGCAAGCGCGTTCTGGCTAGCACTTCCTATAGCCAACAGCAGTGGATCGCACCCAAATGGATTCGAAAACGGTCGACTGCAGTGATCTAATGGCTTTCCAGGTATATTTCTTCAGTAATATATTTTCCATTTAACAAGAACAGCATGATTTTTTTAAAAAAATTCATTGATGAATGTTTATATTATTTGTGTAGCACTCAGTCGACTGAATCGACATTCGTCACCACCGTGAAAAATTTTTAGCATACGACTTTGTTTCGATCTGTTAAGAAGTAATGAAATTATACTTTAGGATGCGCTGAATAAAATGCGTTTGATTGATGATAAAATATTATTCGAACTGAACTGCGCATTGCCAAGTAGTTCATTTTCGGCAAATGTTAATAAAGGTGAAAAGTGTAAAGAAATACATTTACAGGTACTGATTACTCGCGTTTTTTTTTGTTTGTTTAAAGTTTCACTTTTCGTTATTTCAGTTTTCGCCGTTGATGCATAATTGTGAGTGTCGCACACATTATTAATGAATTAGTCACACTACAATGTCCCATCGGTCTATTAATTCTTTTGCTGAGGAATTTAGTTGGTTGGTGTGAGGGCAAAACGAATGGAACTGATCCGGCGATGTGTGAACGAAAACCAAGAAAATATAACAAATTTAAGAAAGAATGATGCTTCACCGGGTGAAGTACGCTTAGCACAAAATACGGTACTATTTCCTCATTCGAGAATTAATTGGATCGTTGAGCAGAATGAAGTTAATGAAATTGCAATTTAGTAAAGAAATTAAAAATATCGTTCTATCCGTACAAATGAATAACGAAAAAGTTTGCAGTTACGGCTGATAAAGTCTGAGATGGATGTAGAAGGTATTGTGAATGAAAGGACTGAAAAGGCAATTCATGATCGCTGTAGAACCTTTCTCTAATTCACAGTGTTTTATGGACATTCTTCAAGTCTTCAACAGATGTTTTTAAAATTTTTTGTATCAATCAAAATGGAACTTCTTCGAAATGTTTATTTAGACCAATTTATCACATCTTTGATTTGTTTTGTTTTGTTTATTACTAGTGTTCAATTAATAACTTGTTAAAATTTTATGAAATATTTAATTGTGTCTTGTTGATTTTGTTGATTTTCTTTGCAGTTATAGAATATGCTAATAAATTTTCGATGTTTTATCCATTCCTTTACGTCAGTCGTCTGTTAATGAACTTTCGGTATCGTGAATTATTGAGTGCTTTTATATTTTTCACCTGATCCATTTATTTATGAGGTTGAATTTTCGGGTTAAACTTGAAGTGCATTCAGTGCAGCTTCATCGGCATAGAGGTAACCTAAAATATATTCCAAGTGAATAAGGCTAAAACTGAAGCGAGTACTTTAAGTTCAGATGCATTTCAATTTTTACGAGAAATTTAACAACTCTTTCTTAATGTGCACATGGAGTGCTGTTTTACTGACTACGCATTCAGATGGAATGGAATCAAGGGTGTTTCCCATGTTGTTGACAGAATTTTGGTGATTGGAGAACGCAAGCGAAAGCTTGCATACGGGCGGCGGTCGCGTAGAAAACGACGTCTAGCTATTGGGGTAGCGATTCGCCGGTTACCAAATCAACAACGATTTTGCTCGCAGCATGCAACACCTGAAATTTGAATCAACACACAACTATCCACCTTTTAGCAACGCAAATGTTGTTAAAGGAACGAAGTGATCGATAAGTGCCATTTACACCTCAACTAGGAGAGTGGTTATAAAAGGTGTTTGAAAAGTGCTGTTGAGGTGTGAGTCGGCTTTATCTAATCAGTTTTGATTGCTTTGTGATTTGTGTTAATTAATCTTTTATCTTTATCAGTTCTACTAAAAATATACAATTCTCAGCACATCTATAAGTATTCTCAATCACGAATGAAACTGTGAACTAGCGCTGAGATACGTAGGACAAATTTCGCATGAGTGCAAGCCTCGGCCTGAGCCTCAGCTATAATACCTGGGCTTTAACTTCACCACACTCGTGATGAGGCTACGCCTACAGTGTGTGTTGGCAACTGTTTGGGTTCATGGCCATACCCACTGCGCATCACCATTATAGTGCTGTTGCGCGTGCGCATGCTCGCCGTTGCCCCTGAAGACTACACTTGTAACCCTCTCTTCGGCGTTGCTCCGCCCTTTCGCAAGCTTTATCGTGAATTGTCACGTGATTTAATGCTAATGTTAATTAATTGGGCATACTATGGAACTCGTACATGTTTACAAGCCTGCGTGGATATGATTCAGCCTTTCTCAAGTCTAAACCCAAAGCTAAACTGTGAGTGTGAGTTTGAAACCAAATCTACTTCGAGAGATTTCAACTAAAATTCCATCTTTGCATGCTTGTATATCCGCACGAGTTTTACAGATTGCGAATAACTTTTTATTTACCTATTGATGGTACACATGCACATTTTTGTAGATATTATGGCATATTTTGGATTGTAGCATTCAGCAACCCGTTATTTGTGGATTGTTTTGTTGCGTTGATGGGTGCCACATTTTTTAATGTTTTTTTTGGTAAAAGTTTGGGATTATTCAGCATTTTGAAGTCTTTTCTTAGTGATTCTTACTGCAAAAAATGTATTTAATTTAATAGAGAATATTGCAGCATCGAAGTAGGAGTACAAGTAAGTGCATTGTGTGAACGTCGGGGGCCAGTGCAGAAAACCTCCTATAAAGGCAATTTATATAGATTAGGTGGCACTTATGCTGTTTAGTCCCTCCACCCGCACGCAGACAAGCGTGCATTACCATTTGTGCTTTCAACAACACCGCCGCACGTTGTCATGCGCGCTTTAGGCCACGCCTATTCTGTTACGCTGGCTTCGGCCATGCCTTAGCATTCAGTGGGCGTGGCTACGCGCACGTGTGCGTGATATTGCGTACGGGTGGAGGGACTAAACAGCATAAGTATCCATTAGGTTGAATGTCCGCAGTGGAGAAGTGGGGATTTTGAGTATGGTTAGGCTGGCTAATTGATTTCTAACCCTGTCAATGCAGAGGCGGGTTTCTTCGCCGCCCGCGCTCGGATATTGATGGAGATTTGTTATTGAGAGGTATGTGGTCATTTTGATATCGACCAGAATATTTTAAATTTCAAGTTTTGATGGATAAGCCACTCATCAACGATGCGGGGATTATCCGTTCTAGCGTTCCGCATCTGTAGCGGTTTCCATTACTTCTTAGCGGAAGAACTCATTTCCCCATGTGCCAAAAAATGCCTTTAAGGGTTTTTTTTTTGCGATGGCTCGGTTTTTCTACAATGCACTCTGTTGTATTGTTACCTTGCTCTGCCGCCTTTACATCACTCCGCATTTAGTGGCGACCTGTCGTTATGAGTGTGATGGCGTTTTCTAATTGATCGTGCAATCTATGTTTGGTTTCGTTCATATTAATGATATCTGTTTTTCAGATTTTGAAGATATATCCAAAATGAAGTATTTAGAAAATGCAAATTTGGACCGAATTTGTTCGGTTCTATCCAGTAATGCGATCGATTGTCAACTCGATATGAGGTCACTCAATGTTTTTTTTTTTCAATTTTATGAAAAGTATGTGTCGATCGTATCGTGACACTGATTTATTTCGGATGTGAAGATCGTCTCGACAAAGAAATTGTGCATGTTTCTATGTTTTCGAAGAATGATTCATAAGTTGGGATCAAAACTGCATTTTTACATACTTCATCAAAATTCAGTTTTAAAAATTATCGTGTTCTGTCACATTTCACCCGGAAAGGACCAAATGAAATCAGTGCAATTGGATAGAGTTTGAAGTCTTTGATGATGGACGGTTTATATTAATCCATTATCCGGTATTCGATGGAATCGGTCATGAAATCAGTCCCTTCACAGCAAAAGGAGGGGCATTCCATTTGTATAATGAAATTAAATTAAGGTTGGAAGCATATTCATGTAAAATGGTATCATCTGAGAAGAAGCAGTGGAAAAAGAATCAATTAACAAAGGGAAGTGCACCACAACCATTATCACCACCAGATCAAACGGCATGGCCGTCATTATCTATATCCGTACCAAAGCCTTTTGTAAGTAATCATGGGTCATCCCGTTACAGACACCTCTCTGAGCCAAGTTGTTCTGGCTCAGACAATGATAACGATGAGGTAGATGATTTATTTATTTATCATTTCTTGTCAATGCAACTTGTTATTGTCGGTATTTGCAAGCATCTTCATCGCCGTTATAACACACTGTAATTAAGAGTGCTTTGAAATATTTGGATGCGGTTAGTACGCGGACATTATTCGATCTGATCGGTGTTTTGAATACGTCATTCCCGGATTATGATTTTTCACATATCAAAAGTGAATCGTTTTCACTTATTCCGAATATTGAGGTAGTGTGATTGATTGATCGGTTGATTTTATCGTTTTACCTACGTTTGATAATTCTGATTCCAAAACAACATATTATCAATCAATTTTGATGTTTTGAAAGTTTTGTTTGGAAAAATTATCTGCATCTGTTTTAACATGGGTTTTTAAATATTTTGGTTTGTTATGAATAAATAAATTATCTTAATGCTGCATTCAGATATTCTGATGTTTTTGATGAGTTCAGATAGTTTGTCCATTTGAAATAATGTTTTTGAAATGCAGTGCAAACTGTTACAATTATTCTTCTCCTTCAAGTACTGTTGACATATTCATCATTTGGTTTGGATCATTTTTTCAACTTTTCAATAAAATTTCATCGATGATTTCAGTCATTAGTTGGATTGGTCGATTTGAAACTTTCGGCGACTGTTTCGAATTACTATGACATAAAGGAGGCACTTTGGCGAGAAATTGACGAAATTATAAAAATCAATGAATGCAGACTTTACAGGTATTTATTTTGATTATTTTGATGTGAGGAAATTTAGTTAGTTGAGCATGGGATAT